TTTGTTTTTGTTTCCTAACAGTCTTCTTTGTGGGGCTGCTTTGAATGCTTTTGCTAGATTGCTGTTTGGTTTACCAGCTGTGGAAGGAGCCTGTTTTATCAGGTTCATTTGTTAACATGGCTTCCCTGAGGTTTCCCCAACCTGGTGTCTCCTTTCCCTTTGAATCACCATTAAGTTCTGACACACACACACACACACACACACACACACACACACACACACACACACACCCATTAAAGTGTTTTATGAGAAGCCCTGGAAACTATGAGACTGGGTAGCAGGGCTTTGTTGAGACCAGAACCAAGATGAGCCCTGTTCTGACAGAGGAATTAGCATTTGGAAACACCAGCCAGGGCTGAGGTACTTGATGGCAGTAGTCCTTTTGCTTGCTATACCTGGTTTGTTGACATGAGCTGCAGCTTTTTCAGGTACACAGAGTTCTTTTAGAATAGAAGGATAATGGACTGAGGGGCTGCCCTCCAGTCCAGATTATAGAAACAATAGCTTTGTGTAATGGATGTCCTTCTGTATGCTGTGAATATGTTTCTCTTATTGGCTTATGAATAAACTGTTTCGGATAATGGACAGGCAGGATATAGCCAGGAAGGGAGTACAGGCAGGACTACCAGACTAGAATGCCTGGAAGAGGAACCAAGAGGGTGAGTCAACAAAGAGACACCATGTAGCTGCCAAAGAAGAAAGGTCCAGGCATCACCAGTAAGCTAAAACCATAAGGAGATATACAGATTAGGAGAAATGGGTTAATAATTAAGAGAGAGCTAGCCAATAAGAAGCCTGAGCCATCAGCCAAACAGTTTATAATTAATATAAGCCTTTGTGTGTTTATTTGGGACTAAACAGTTTCAGGACCAAGGGGGTCAGAAACTTCTGTTTACTTTTGTGCCCTTCCCCCATTTCCTTCCCCTCCCCCATGGGAGTAACATCTGAGGTACCTTGTACCTTATGGGCTCCATTTTATCAGGTGCCCCCTGTGACTAATTATTTATTCCAGGGTCATTGTCTAGGAAGAATTAGGCAAGTCTTCCCACCTCAACTACACTTAATGTCATCAAAATAATCCCTGACAGGTCCTGTCGCCCAGGGGACTGTATATTTTCTTGACATTAGCCATTAAGCAGTTATCCTTATCTGTTACAGCTTTATAGTAACTTCTGATCTTTTCAGCCATGTGTTGATTAACCCACTTTAGAGAGGAGGAAAATGAAATGCAGAGCAGTGTCATTTTGCCTCTGGCCACTGAATTAGCAGAAGTGAAGTCAGATCTAGGAATTTTATAATATAAAGTATGCTATTTCTACTCTACTTGTGGGACTTCTCTGGGAAAACCACCCATTCTCCAGGATAATCTGCTTTCAACTTCCTGAATATGGGTTATAGAGCATATGAAGTCAATTTCATTGGGGCTTTTGTTTTCTCCATTATACATTACTGCTGTAGTAGCATGGAGGGAGGTTGCTAGCAACCTTTTTATTAAATAAATAAATGGAAACCATGCACATTGGTTTTACCCTATATTCACTGTTTATTAGTTTTTCTTGTATCTTGGAAACTGAGCCAGGCTACTATCTAAACAAGTGGTTAACTGGCTCACAGCTGTGGTCCCTGGTTAAAGGCTCCCTCTGGTGATGGCCATATGGTAGAGACCATGGAGTGTGTTTTGTCTCTCCTGATTGGGACTTCCCCTGCTACAAAGCCACCTAGATATGATCATGAAAGCGCCTCCCCTCCCCCCCCCCCATTGCTCTGTTAGTACTAATCTCTGTTAACTGCTGGACTAGATTGAGTTTTTAGCTACCTGTACCTTATATAAGTGTTAATCTCAACACAAGAAGTATTTTTGTTTGTTTTTGAAGGTTTTTTTGGGGGGTTGTATTGTTTGGTTTTTTTATTGTTGTTGTTGTTTTGCTTTTTGAGAAGGTTGGCACAGAAACTGCAAACACAGCATCTACCTTTACATTGTGAACACTTGGCAAGCACTTACATTCATCAGTGTCATAGTACATTGTTTTTTGCACTCAGTGTTGAATTTTAGTATAGTATTTTTTATATTTAGGGACTGCTGTGGGATAGGTCTCAAGGAAATGTAAACTTGTGTAATGCTTTATAGAAATAAAGTCATGTACCAAAATCTGGGGAAATGTTTTCTGACATGTCTGCCTGTTGAAGACTGCTACCTCACTAACAAGTATTATGTACTCTGTTCAGAAGCAGAGGAAGATTTCTTCTTAGAATTTACACCTTAAAATGTACATTTTGTGTTGTTCTGTGGTTTTGACCTTTAGGCACAGGCTCCAGGCCTTTCTGGGACAGCCAGGGTTTAAGACTAGGTATGATTTAGCAAAGGCCATGGAGGAATCCTATCTAGAGAGTAGAATTCTAGTCCAGGCTCATCATCATCCATGCCTCATCCTCACTCCTTTTGCTGTAATTGTCACATCAAAGCCCACCTTAGCTTTCTTAAGTCTCCTCTTAATACTGAGTGGCTTGCAACTTCTTCACTGAACCAGGTATAGGTGATTCCATGGCCAGACCTAGAATTATGAGATGTCTTGAAAGGTGACATGTGATAACCTTGCCCCTTTATCACCCTTGGTTTTCACCTTTCATGGAAAAGTTCTGAAACAAAATTCCTGAAGTAAAAACAGAGTTCCAGTCTGCCCTTGGGACTCCAGGGAAAGCAGATGAAGGACAATACACAGGGTCAGCTGCATGTGGTGATTTTGTGTCCTTGGAGTACCCTGAGCTCATTGTTTGTTGAAAGTTCCTGGCACATGGACATTGCAGGTGAGGAAACTAATTTCAGTGGTTGCAGGTCAGTGTCACATCAAGGAGAACCCCTGCATCTCCTAAAAGCCAGCAGTGCTGGAGAGCAGCCTTCTCTGGGGGACAAGGCCTGGCAGTCCTGTAGTTCTGGCTACCAGTAGGGAAGTATTTAGTTGTTGGCTTGCAGTTTCTAGTAACCCCTTCTGTGGTTAAATGGTAAAGGAGAGTTAAAGTGGACTGATAGATGGGTATTACAGGTCTGAACAGATGAGGTTTTAACAGTGTTCAGAGCGGCTCTTTGTGTGACACCTGTCTGCAAGTAGCACATACACCTTCTATTCTAGTTGACACCTTTCTGTGGTGACTTTGTTTGAAGCTTTCTGGAAGTTAATTGTTGTAGTAGTTAGGAATACATATTTATTGTCATTTGTTTTGTTGAAGTCCTCATATTGTCACCACCAGCAGCCCCCCCCCTTTTTTTTTTTAAAGTAGCAAGATCCTAACTTGAACAGGAAAACTTACAGACTATTTTGCATCTGGGCTCTATGTAGTTCAAGTTGAAGGAAGAGATTGTGTCTTTCTTTCCTGTCTTCTTCCCATTGAGCCTCCCTTCAAGGCATTTATCTGTGAAACTCCAGTGTACTAAAACGAAGTTAGAGTACCTGAAAGACCATATTTAAGTCTGTCAGTTATTTTTTTCTTTTTACTTGTTTTCATTTGTGTGTGTGGCATATATATATGTGTTCACATGTGTGTGAGCACAGTTATATGTGCAGGTGAGCATGTGCATGGCTGTATTGGCTGGGCAGGTGCAAATGTGTGTGCATGCACAAGGTGCCCTGTTTGACACCTTGTTCTTGGAGACAGGATTTTTCAGTCAGACTTGTAGCTCACTGATAAACCCTGTCTCCTCCTCCAGAGACTGAAATTACAGCTGAGTCACTATACCTACTCAGCATTTAGGTGGGTTCTGAGGGTTCAAACTATAGCCCTTTTGATTGCCACGCAAGCACTTTAACTATAGAGACATCCATCTCTTCAGACTTTGCTTCTTTAATCAAATTTGGTGAGCAGTTAGAAACTGTTCATGTGTGAGAACTTGCCTCTCATTCATGTTTGCCCAGAACATGTCAGCTGTGTGAATAAGCATTTAGTGTTGTTGCCATTATCTTTTTGACCATTCTATTTTTCTCTCCTTTCATCTTTAGCTCAGTGGCTGTTAAAGCTAAAGACAAGCACTGGTTTTATTGGGATTGGTTTGGTTCTTGGAAGTTTTGTTGGAATAATTCAATCACAACTTGCTTATTTCTGGTATTGTAAGTGGAGCTGAATACCATTCAGTCTTTACAGAATTTTTTTTACCTTTCCTGCCTGAATTTAATTCTGCTGCTTGTATTACCCATCCCCCACCTCAACCCCACCACCTCTGGAGTCAGGCTGTTCTTTTGTTGTTTAATTTACTCTGGGGAAGTTCTTTAATGGAATACTAAGTTGCTGAGCTAAATAGAGAAGCCCCTGATCTTTGGAGATTGTTCTAAGGCGGGACTGCAAATGATGCCCATAGGAATGGGAAGGCAGAAGAGGGACTGGAGCATCTGAAGGACCTAATGCCACCAGCTGAAAATTAGAGTTATCCTCCCCCTCCCCCCTCTGTGTGTCTGTCTGTCTTTCTTTGTGTGTATGTACACACGTGCATGTGTGCTCAAGCAATCTTGTGGTTACTATGTGTTGACTTAATTTTTCTTTCAAGTATGGACCAGATAATAGACCTGCCATGCTCATATCAGAGACCTACATGATCCATATACAGTTACAGTTTGTCTTTCAAACACTTCCTTTCATCATAATGGTGTCAGTGATCTGAGATCACCTCTGACATCATTTGCTCATTTCTGAGGAGCACATGTCCTGTTGTAGTAGGTATAGAGCTTACACTGAATTGTGTGTAACCCTTTGTTGGCCTCTCTTGGTGCAGAGCAGACTTTGAAAAGGATGATGGAGTTTTGGGCTGCTAGATCTACTGTGGAGCATTATGCTCCCTGCCCGTTGTGTTTTCAACAGCAGTGTTCTTAATGGAACCAAAAGAATCTAGTAACACAGAAACTGGCTCCCATAGTCATGGAATGTACTAACAAGATTGAGAAGTTGAAAACTAATCATGGTTCTACCTAGTTATCGGCTTGTTACTTATTTAACTTCTCTTTCTTCCTTTACAGATTTGAATATGGAATTCAACCCTTCAGACCATCCTCGGGCCAGCACAATATTCCTTAGCAAATCTCAGACAGATGGTAGGTTATTAATTCATTTGCTTGTAAATGTGGTTAGCCTAAATGTGGACACTGCTGGGATTTGAGTGGTTAGTGTGTGGTAGAGTTCCCTTCAGTGACCATGAAGTACTGTCCATACTGGTGATTTCCTTTTGTTTATCCTTTGGTAATGAGTACATTTTTAGAATTTCTCATTTGAAACAACTCTTCATTTTGCTTGTTAGCTGAGTTACCTCTGCATATATTCCACAGCAAGAGTTAATTGAGTCAGTAAATTACCTTTTGGTCTTAAGGTTTAGGACATGATCTATATGTAAGTTCTCAAAGATCATGTGTGTTCACTAGTCAGGCAGTAAGTAACACAAAACAGAAATCTAAGCAGTTGAAAGCCAATTAACTGTCTCTGTCTTGTCACTCAAGAGCTCAATTGAACCTACACATAAACTGCTTATTTATTTATTTATTTATTTATTTATTTATCTGTCTATCTAGTTATTTATTTATTGAAGCTGAACTTTGAGATGTTAGAACCCTTGCAGTCTGTCCCAGGTGAGTGTAGGATTTCTCCTTTGGCATGGCATTGTCTCTTCTTAGCCCCTGGTCTACCTAACTGTTCTGTGGCCAGTGGCTTCAAAGAAGAGGGACGGTAAATGCAAACTCAGTTTTCATAAATGGTCCTGGGCACTTGTAAAGCATACTGATAAGGGAACAAGGTGTGTCTGTCAGAGGAAGCTCTGCAGATTCTATCCTTTACTCTGACAGATTGACTGCTCTCATTTAAGTACTAAGGAGACTACAAAGAAGACAAACATACCTGTATTCATGTATACAAACTGAAAATGCCTCCGTAGTGCTTGGTGCCAGCTTTGGCAGGGGACATTGTTGATGTAATATGGATGGTTTTCAAGCAGGCCACTTCAAGTCTTTGGCACATGTTAGACAAAAAAAAAAGGGGGGGGAGGGGGTGGTTCTCCAAGAGTAAGAAAAGAAGTCAATGAGAACCAAATACTTGTGAAGGAAACTTTGAATATATTAGGTTTAAAAAAAAAAAATCAACCCAGAATTTTCCCTGTGATAAAGGGAAGCTGCTGAGAGGTGTAGGATATTACAAGCAAAAGAAAGTGGGGATAGAGGTGAGAATTTAAGAGGACTTGATATCTTAGCACACTCAGACCAGCCAGTCTTAGGAGTCTTTACTTGCTGATTCATTGTTTGTGTCCAGCTATTGTTTTGTTTTGCAGTAAAAATGAAGTCTATTGTAAGCATTATTCTACTCCTGGACTATGTTTACTACTACTAATTTTAGATAAGGAAAAATTTGTAAAAATATGTATTTGTATACTTAAGTTACCACATTGGAAATTTACCTTGTACTAATCTCTAGTGACTAATAATAGATGCACTAGAAAATTATGAAAAAAATCTGTTTAAATAAACTCTAGTAATACGTTTTTTTTTCCTCAAAAAAAAAAAAAAAAAGAAAGAAAGAAAGAAAATGAGAATTAAAACTGATTTTCCCCGAACAGTGAGGTGAAAAAAAAAGTCTGAAGCTCCAGATAGTGTTCTTCCTGTTGGATCCAGCTGTCTTCCAAACAATCCCCTGGGATCCTCAGAGCCTCTGGGTGGGGGACACACCTTGATTGTGCTGGCAAAAGGAAATGACTTAACAGAGGAAGGATTATTCCAGAAATAGGTTCAGGTCAGTCTCCTTTCTTCTAGAGTTCATCTTCCTCCCTTTTTCTAGAACTTCAGATCTTTGTATATTGCTTCATTTTCTCCTGACTATGAGGATTTTCCACTTCACATATAGACATAATTAAGTTTCATATTACAAACAAAAGGAAGTTCCCTCTTCCAGGACATGTTCTTCTCTGCTCCTGGGATTGAAGGGAACATTTCACTCCTTTGGCCCTTACCAGCACAACTTCTTCCTTTTCTCAGACAGAGCCATTTGCTGAAGACAATCTTATGTAATGAATAGTCAGTTTATAGTTGATTTTACAAAGTACAATTTATACACATGACAATCTCAGCATCTTTAATGACTTACTTTTGAGTGAAGTGATTGTAAGAGAATTGGTTATTTACTTATGAACTGATTTCAACAACTTGGTGCAGAAAACTTAAGGCTACCATTGCTCTTCCATTCATAAATGTGCACTTAGGACACACTTGCCCCACAAGCTGCCAGGCTGTGTTAGCCTGTTGCCTCCTTAGTTCCATGTTATTTTCTCCTGTACTTTTTTCTTGGAGCCTATCTCTTAAGATTTCTCCTAGACTGAGAGCGTTGTTGGGTGTTGAGTCAAGGTTCTTCTCATACCTCTAGAGCAGTGTTTCTCAACCTGTTAAGACCCCTTTGTGGGTGACATATCAGATATTTACATTATAATTTATGATAGTAGCAAAGTTATAGTTATGAAGTAGATATGAAATAATTTTATGTTTGGGGGTCACTACAACATGAGGATCTGTAATAAAGGGTGGAAATATATGGAAGATTAAGAACCACTATGCACAGGGCCAGCAGATTATGCAGCCTGTATTCAAAATGGCTGCCTCTCTTGAGCCCTCACTCATGTCACTAATCCATAGCCATTTTAGCTCTCTGAACACCTGAGCTGATGAACTTTACTCTCTTGCAGCCCTGAGTTATTATGACAAGTATAATTTTCCAATTTATTCCTTGGCAATTTTATATCTACACACATTCACCTAAGTTGTATTCCCCACCCCACCCCCACCCTTTTTGGATTTTTGTAATGTTGGGTTCAGGTAATCTCCCTCCTTGCCTACTAAGTAGCTGGAATTATATAGGCAAAGGACAAAAGCCTTTGGGGTTTGGGTTTTGGTGTTTTCTTTCATCTTTAATTAAAACTCCTAAAAGTTTTGTTGTCATCCAATAGTATGCATCCTTTTTGGTAGCAGCATATTTACCTCTATGCTGTCTATGTACTGGTCACCTTAGGAGCTGTAGGTTACTAGACATCATCTTAGTTACCTTTTTTAGGTTTTCTGTTTGTTTTTTGGTCCTAAGATCCTCTCTTCTGGCTATCTTTAATTGTGCAATACAATAGTACTAACCATAATTACTCACTCACTCATTTGTGTTACAGAACACCAGACTTGATTTCCTAGCCAGCTCTTTGTATAATAATTGGCCTTTCTCAGCCCCATCTCCCATATTGCCAGGGCTGTAGCTACTGTTATAGGCCCTACTTCTATGATCAGCCCTTTGAGATCATATGTCAAGAGGTCACCAGTGTTTATCTTTCTGTGATGACTTTACATCCCATTGGATCTCAAATCATTCAGAGTGAACTTTTTGGGTTGGGTGTTTTGAGATAAGGTCTCCTTTTGTATGCCATACAGACCCAGTGGAACTCAACTGTCAGGAGGACCTGAGATAACAAGTATGTGCCACCTAGTCAAAAGCTGTACTTTATAGATAAAAGACTATTTATCCTCTATGTTACCTGTTGCTTAAGAAGAGAGAATGTCTGCCTCAGTTTGCTCTTTCTAAGTCTGCTTCTACAGGGTGTAGGAAGCTTACAAAGAATGGGGAAGAAAAGCATGAAAGCCAGAATCCTACTTCTCCTTTAGTAGCCATGTCACTATGAGGTGACTTAATGTAGCAATTTCACTTTCTCCCTCATCCTCTACCTTTATTTAAAGGTATAGGTGGTTCCCCACCTGTGAGCTGCAAGCGATTGGGGGGAGTATACCAACTCTTTTTACAGGTGTTGCAATCATATATCCTGTTTATCAAATATTTACATTACAGTTTATAACATAGCAAAATTAGAGTTGTGAAGTAGCAACAAAACTAATTATATGGTTGGGGGGGTCATTACAACATGAGCAACATGAGTCAAGGGTCAAAGCATTAGGAAGGTTGAGACCATTGGGTTAAAGGCAGAAGGACATAGGAAATATTTGCCCACATAGTAAATTTACAGTTCTCTCTTCCCACTCTGAATTCATTGTGACAGAGCTGCCTTCAGGCCAGCTCTTTCTCTGCAGTTATCCCTTGAGCTGTAGGAAAGGGGTGTGGGTATGGGGTGGAGAGGTGGAGAGGAGGTGGCTTTTTTTTTTTCCCCCTCCCCCTGGCCAGGTCTGTGAGAGGATACTTTCTTTAGGTGCTGTGATCTGCTTTTCTCTTGAATATTGCTTTGATTTGAACACTTGGGCCTTTCAGTCTGGGCAAAGTGTTTGCATAGTCCAAAGATGCAATGTTAGAACCACAGTGAGTTTTTCTTAACTAATGCTTCCCCAGGTCCAGTGGTAAGGAACTTCCATGGAAGCACAGATACTGAACAGAGAGGGGTGATGGTGATTTGCCCAACAGATTAGTGTTCCCCACCCTTGCCATTACAGCCCATTCTACTGCTGGTAGATGGCCCTTTGGTCTGTTGGTCAGAAGTAATATCTAGTTATTTTTCTTCTCTGAACACCTTTAGCTCCTCCTCTATTAATATTAACCTAACCTTTCAGTGTGTTTCATAGCTTTGTAGCCTACCTTGCATTAAATATGCATTTGATCACCTATCCTTTGACATCCAGGAAGCTACTGAAATAATTGGTATGGGACAGTGTTAAGAACAGCTAGAAGCCAGGCATAGTGGCACACGTCTTTTTAATCCCAGCACTCAGGAGACAGAAGCAGGTGGATCTCTGTGAGTTCATGGCTGGCCTGGTCTATATAGTGAGTTCCAGGATAGCCAGAGGTACATAATGAGACTCTTGAGGGGAAAAAAAGAGCAGATAGAAATCTTAGGAGGATTTCCTGAAGTTACCAGTAACTGGAAGCTTTCTAGCTATTTTGTGCTTTGGTTTTTTTTTTTGTTGTTGTTGTTGTTGTTGTTTTGTTTTGTTTTTCCTTTGTATGTGTGTGTACATGTGGCAGATATCCTTGGGGGCCAGAGGTATTGAATCCTCCTGTAGCTGGGGTTGTAGCCAGTTGTATTCTGTGCCCCATGTATGTCATGAAAACTTGACTCCTGTCCTCTGGAAGTGATTTAACT